GGCAAGCGGGGGGAGAGAGCGAGTGAGGGCAAGCGGGGGGAGAGAGCGAGAGAGAGCGAGTGAGGGCAAGCGGGGGAGAGCGAGTGAGGGCAAGCGGGGGAGAGAGCGAGGAAAAAAGACCCAGAGAGGAGGGAGAAGGAAATTGCTGAGAATGAGAGAGAAAACCCATATTTAGCCTGCAGCTATCCCTATCTGATGGTCTCTTCTATAGTTCTTTATATCTCTAGCCAGGTAAAGAAAAATAATAAAGGTTTAGGATCCAGAAAAGAAGCCATGCAGAAGCTCCAGACCTGGCGGGACTCCCCTCCAAGTACTTGCAGTAAACCGTTAATATTGTTCTTAGGATCCTACAGACCAGGAATCTCCCAGTACAGGCCGGGATGTCATGTAAGCAAAAGATTTCTGCATCAGGGTCACTGAAAGCTCCAGGGGTCCTGTTGGGTTTACAAAAAATTTCTTCTTCCACCTAAAACTTAGAAATAGGCAACTTTACCTTTTAAAGCAAATGATAAAACAGTGCAATTTCTGCCTCACTTGAATCTTACGCCTTACTGTAGCAAACCGCTACAAGCTCAAAATAAAAAATCTGCTGTAATAGATTCTAGCCACAAGATGGCGCTGAAGACGCACGTTATTGGGGAATAATCCGCGTCTATACGTTACTCCAGCTTCGAATGCGTCTTAATACATACTACTAATGCATATAATACAAATTCTAATGCAGCCTTTAATGTATACTGAGAAGCGAGCATTGGAAAGAACACACTTCTAGCACCTAAACAAAGTCATCAAAAGAATAGACATCACTAAGGAACTCGGCCTCGATTGGCCACCCAGCATCATGGATATCATGGGACAGCGCTGAACATTCGATTGATCTGTGACTGCTGAGCTATGCTGATGAAAGTAAAAGGACTGTGACCTAAAAGGGGCCCCCGCTGTGCATCATAGGCCTCTCCACTCCCCCATTAGCACAGTGAACTACCTACAGTTGAAGTCTGCTGTAACTATGCAGGCCGGACTGCTAAAATATAGGCCGCATCTGGTGACGGCCCACGACACCAAGTATCATGGAGCCAACGCTTAAAGAGACCCTGTCACCTAGTTCCAAGAGCAGTTTGGATAACGGAACAAGAACGCAGTCATTGCCTTCCTAAAGGTGCTTGCGACATCACTGTGCTAGGATGATCAAAAGTCCCATCGCACTCCTGACCGGAGAATACCCAACGCAGCAGGGCGGGTGCAGCAGCAACAACGGATGCCTCCGCAAAAACGTACAAAAATAGAAATAAGTCACTTGCACTCCAAAAATAATGAAGTCAATAAGGTTTTATTGACCCAAGGTGTTGTCGATTGGGTCAATAAAACCTTATTGACTTCATTATTTTTGGAGTGCAAGTGACTTTCGATTTCTGTGCTATGATGAGGTCACCATTTTTTTTTTGGGGGGGGGGGAGGGAGATGGGCTTGAAGATGTATTTGAATCCAATGCAAGGAGCTAAATACGATGAGATACAAATGTGTGCGGTTCTACCGGCCGGAGGATTCGGCCAGTCTTGTGATTCCCACACTGCACTGCCAAGCAGGTAAAATGTCTCCTGATACAGCTTGGCAGCATCCAATGTCACCTCTCTGCCACCAGTCTGATCATTAGGCAAGGAAGCAGCATCATGGCCGATGTCCAATGACCAGCGTGGTGACCCAGGAAGTAGAAACGCTGAACCAGGAAGCAGCTGAGTGCTGTCTGGGTCACAAGACTGGAATCACAAATCAGGAGAAACCGTAAGAATAAATCTATTTCAGCATTGGATTTCAATCTGTGGGCAGACCTTAAACGGCTCCCTCCATTATGCCCACGGGACATGCACTTCGAGGTACTGGTATATAGAATACTGTTCCTCTATCTCCTGACACTGTCGGGCTCTTGGTCCATGACCGAGTGCCCGACTTTTTAGAGGGGGGGTGACACCAAAATGACGCTCAGTCATTTTGGAGTCACCCCTGCAATGGTGTCGCCTGGGTACGGGCCGCACCCCCCGCGTGATGCCACTGATAGTATACTCTCCATACCCTCCTTTGGTCACAGTCTTGCGGCTTGCCACCACGTCTCCGGTGCCTAATGAGGAAACCACTATGAGCCTATAATCCGTATTCCGATCCTGAGAGCAGAATCAGTGAAACACGACAGTATAATACTAAAACTAGGAGCACAGCACCAAATACAGATAAACGTCTCGTCTCCATCTACATCAAACACACAAACAGAAAAAAAGTACAGAAATGAATAAATAACAAAAACATCAAAAACAACAGAAAAACTGCTTTGTATCGCTCGCAGCTTCCCAATATGGATCGGAGGGAAGACAGGAAGCCATTGTGTCACTTCATTAGAAACGGTTTAAAGTGAAGTCATCAAGGCAGTGCGGCCCCCGCGGGCCCAGGCAAGCAAAATGGCTTCCTCCTCCTCTGCGCAGATCACAGACATTGGAGCACTGAAGAGACCCTGTCGTGCTGCCCATTTCGGAAAACGTGATGGGTTCAGTGCGCATGCTTGCGGCCAATCACGGAGTCCCAGCACTCACATGACTACAGGAGGGCTGAGGTCACTGTACTCTATAAGCTCCGACACTGACGTTTGCTGTGGTAGTCGCAACACAGGAAGGCTCCACAAGTGAGCACTGTGAGGGCGGGTATAAGGGGGACAAGGGGGCCGGGCATTAACCAGACCCAATCACTTTGGCCTGAGTGAGCAAGGTGACAGGGTCTCTAAAGAACAAGTCTCACCGCAATTTCTAAATCGTTGTGGAATCCCCCAGGGGACCGGATGCATGTAGAACTTGGTCCCGGTTCTGATCAGTGGGTACATTATGCAATCAAATTCAATACCTTTTGTTTCTGTAGGTTGTCAGCTCCACCCCAGGCTGAAGCACCATTTATGAGCATTCCTATGAGGGAGTCACAGCACAGCACTTGAACTTGTGTCCCCAGCAAGTCAATTGTGCAGCAATGCTCCTCTGTCTCTACCTGCACCTGGCAACAAGCTTGTCGGAAAGCATAAACACGTACACAGGTGTCGCGCTGACAGGCTCCCCACTCACTGGTTTGCTTGTATATGAGTGCTTGTATCCAGTGCGCTCCTACAACCAGAGACAAGCACTTGTATCCAGTGCGTGCCTACTGCCAGAGACAAGCACTTGTATCCAGTGCGCTCCTACAGCCAGAGACAAGCACTTGTATCCAGTGCGCTCCTACAGCCAGAGACAAGCACTTGTATCCAGTGCGCTCCTACAGCCAGAGACAAGCACTTGTATCCAGTGCGCGCCTACTGCCAGAGACAAGCACTTGTATCCAGTGCGCGCCTACTGCCAGAGACAAGCACTTGTATCCAGTGCGCGCCTACTGCCAGAGACAAGCACTTGTATCCGGTGCGCGCCTACTGCCAGAGACAAGCACTTGTATCCGGTGCGCGCCTACTGCCAGAGACAAGCACTTGTATCCAGTGCGCTCCTACAGCCAGAGACAAGCACTTGTATCCAGTGCGCTCCTACTGCCAGAGACAAGCACTTGTATGCGGTGCGCGCCTACTGCCAGAGACAAGCACTTGTATCCAGTGTGCTCCTACAGCCAGAGACAAGCACTTGTATGCGGTGCGCTCCTACTGCCAGAGACAAGCACTTGTATCCGGTGCGTGCCTACTGCCAGAGACAAGCACTTGTATCCAGGGCGC